AGCTGGAATGCCGAAGTAATAAAAATGGGAGCTGAAGCTAATGTGCTCCGCTGAACTCAGCTACAGATCAACAGCAACATCTACTGGCATCAGACTGCCATGACAGGTCAGTGTAGGCCAAAAGCTGTTTTGGGAATTCTATGAAAAGGAACTGCAGTAAAAAATACCAGAATTTATACAGGATTCTTATGAGAATATTATTATAGATTAATATAGCTATAGTAAATTTGTTTTTAAAAAATTAAAGGAGAATTCCACTTATTTTTCAAAATTTCTGTGTAATTCAGTGGTTGAGATGTAAACAGAGTGATTCAGAGTGGTTTGACGTGAAATAGTTGATTGTAGAGACTCTGATTTCTTTGCAGTGGTGGTGATAGGAACCAGGGGTCGCCATGACTACAACACAAACATAGACATTTTATTTACTATACAAAACCGTCAGTGAACCTACACAAGTTTTTATTTGTAATGTTGATTAAGGTAAGCCAGTGACAAATCAGGATATGCCCTGCATGTACGTCCAATATATGTCTCCAACATCACTAGCAATTTCATAACCATTTCATATATTAACTTTCTATGTGGGGGCTTTTAGAGGTGGACCACTGTGAACAGTTCTGAATGTAAGTTTCTCTAGAACAGAGCATTTCACACCAAATCACTCTGAATGACCCTGTTTATGTCTTAACCATTTAATTTTTCAGATATTTTGAAAATTTGGTGGAACTCCCCTTTAAGCCAGCTCAGTTCATGACTGTTGTTCCTTCAGCCAAACACGATTATATGTTTCGTTGCTAAACATAGGACTTTACTGTACTGCCAGTAAGTTTCCTATAAGCTGTCCCACTTTTGCAAACTGTGTCCCAGGGTCTGTAATATTTACATAAAAACTATATTCAATACAGTTTTAATGTATTTATATTAAAGAGACTTGTGACTTGTAACTCGAAAACCACAAAATATACAAATGTATAGCTTTTATGAGCATTTTCTAAAAAGTTTCCCACTGCTGCTGAGTTCACCCTCCTATAGTTTACTACAGGTAGTCTTGATTACTATACGTCATCATAGGAACAATACAAGAGGTGAATATATCGCTGCTGTCGGAAGAAAACCTTGTACCTCCATTTTATCGTTTTTCAGTTTTTGACATAATTTGAAAATGCCTGTTGCCTTTAACATTGTGTCAAAAGTTCATGATAAATGGACCAAAAGAAATGGCAAAATTATTTGGAAAACATTCTGGTTCCATTGACTTAAAAGTAAAGTAGGTTTTTTACCTCAGGACAAAGACAAATGGACATTCATGATTGAATCATGAGTCTGAGTGAATAAACAGGACGTGACAGCAGTTAGTGGTGAGGAGGGTCTGCATATCAAAGGCCAGCTGCACTCACCTTTGATTGGTCAGTGGCAGCGCACTTAATCAATAGAAATCTCGTCAAGATAAAACTGAAGTACCTTCAGAGAGAGGGAGAGAGAGAGGATTACTTTTCTATAGTCTCGTCACAACATTTACTCAATTGTTTTTCAGTTTTTGACATAATTAGAAAATGCTTGTTGCTCTTTACATTGTGTGTAAATTTCATAATTAATGGGCCAAAAGAAATGACCCAAAACGACTTGGAAAAAAGTCTGGTTCCACTGATTTACATTAAAAGTAAAGTAGGTTTGTTCCTTCTCCTGTAAAGTTCTCATTTAGGAGATTTTCACAGCAGCAATATGCAACTAATTCTCTTTCAGACTGTTAATAAACCCATCAGTGCTCCCTTAAAGAAGAATTCCAGTGTATAATTCAGTGTGTGAGATGTAATCAGAGTGATTCAGTGTGGTTTGGTGTGAAATGGTTCAGATTTCTTTACAGTGGTGGTGATGGGATCCAGAGGTTGTCATATCTACAACACAAATGTAGACATTTTATTTACTATCCAAAACCACCAGTGAACCTACATACATCCTCAACATTCTATACAGAGTGTTGATGATGGTAAAATAGTGATAAATCTAAAAAAATAAGGTTTCTCCAGGCACTATTTTGCCTCACAACACTCAGGGAATGTATCCCTCCACCATGAATGGATTTTAAAAATATATTTTAGGAAAAAACTTTATTTCAAAACTATCATAAAACAATGTCTCAGACCTCACGAAGTGTATTCATAACCATTTCATGTAATAACTTTCTGTGAGGGAGCTTTTAGAGGCGTTAAGCTCTTCAGATGTCTGGTTCCTATCATAATGTATAGCTAAACGCCACACACTAATTAACCCCTAAAATTCCTAGGATTGCTACAGGCTAATGTGTATTATTCAGTATTTACATGAAAAAACAACCCAAAACTAAATTCTGAAAAAACAAGAACTGTGGACTCACCAGCAGGTCCAGCCATTTAAAGGGTTACACAGAGTGATGTTGTCCTGTTGATATCTGTTGTTATCTGATCATATGTGAATCAGATTGAACCCATTTTAAGAGTAATCCATAGTAGTTACTAAATCATTTATAGCAGTTACTGAATAATTTCTAATAGTTATTGAGTAACTTATAGCAGATCCTGAAAAATTCATTGTAATTACTGAATAACTAGATGCTTAATAATTCATAGTAGTTACTAAATAATTCATAATAAATACTTTATAATACATAGTGAACAGAGAATAATGCATGGTAGATTCTGAATAATTCATAGTGAATAGTGAATAATTTATTATAGATTCTGAATAATTCATAGTAAATAGTGAATAATTTATGGTAGATTCTGAATAATTCATACTGAACAGTGAATAATTTATGGTAGATTCTGAATAGTTCTTGGTGAATAGTGAATAATTTATGGTAGATTTGGAATAATTTAGATACTGAATAATTCATAGTAGATACTGAATAACAGAGTAGATATTGAATAATTCATAGTAGATACTGAATAACAGAGTGGATATTGAATAATTCATAGTAGTTATTAAATATTCATGGTGGACAGTGAATAATTTATAGTAGATAAATTATGCTGAAGCACCAGCACTAAGAGAAATCTCTTTTATATGCCAGTATATTTGGTGACTAATATGATTTATGTTTTTGTTTTGTAATATTTGAGGCCTTTACTGTGCAGCTTTGGCTCCCTCTGGTGGCAGTGTTTGATAGTAGCATCACTTAATCAATTCAGTTGGTTTGAAAGGCTTAGTAAATGTTCTTAATGCAGTAATCGTACGAATATTGAATGCGTTCAAGCAAAAAGCCCCAGATATGTGGAATCTAAATCTGAATGTGCTTTCTCACATTGCAGATACCAGCAATCAGCTGAAAAGATCATCATTATTCAGTCTGATGAAATATCAGTTTTCCATAAATAAGTAATTCTGAGTAATAAAAGCTGTTAAATGCAGTAATAAACAATAATGACCTAACATTTAAAATCAAATTTTATAATCACAATCTCTGAATCCTGCATAATAGTAATGACACATTTAGAATTTAGTACAACAAAAAAGTTAATGACAAGGTTTTAATAAAGTAGATTAAATAAAAAAAAACAAACAAATAAATAATAATGGGAGATTAATTTTTTACAGTAATCAAATACATAACACAAAAAGAAACAGACCAGCTTCTTTCAGAAATTCCCTCCCATCACTGAGCACACAGTCCAGCAGCAAACAGGCCTTGAACTGACCTAAAGCTCACAAAACCAAACAGGCTTTCAGCAACTCAATACACTGCAAAAAATTAGATCTTAGTAAGTCTAATTATCTAAAATCTAGTCATATCATATTATTTAAAAACTGGTTGTAACATTATCAGAACAACCCCATCATGAGAAATATTAGGTGTATTTTTACTTGCTAAGATAACATTTTTTGCAGTAAACTCAAAGTCTGAGGCTTCCATATACATTAAAGTCTAATACAGTCCAGTTTATTATTACACACCCAGAATACGCTTTATAAGACCACTGCATTACTGCCAGTCACAGCAACATGTGTATTTAGTTACATTGCCACTTCACCTGCTACACAAGCTAAATCTCTTTAAGTTACACAAGACTGGATGTATAACATTAAAACAACAACAAAAACAATAGAAACCAACTGAACTGTGTGGACCGTATGGTATTTAGGTATTTTCCCTGATTCAATACAACAAACTCAACTAAACAACTAGTGATCAAGTCCCACATCACCTAGAATAACACTGTCATTCAAAAGTTTGGGACCACTCATCATATTAATGATTTTTTAAACTTTATCCAGTGATAACTTACACAGTATATATTGTTATACTATGAAATGTTTACCAGAATTACCAGAAGATAACTCAAGATGATTGATTTGCTCAATATTTTGTTTTTTGGGAATATCAAGAGGTTATTAAATGATACATGATATACTGTAATTAATCATTTATGGTTTATTTATTTTTTCATTTTTATTCATGGTAATTTAGTAGTATGTTATCTGCCTGAGATTTGACCATCATGTTACAGATATGAGGTATTCTGGGTATGAATTGTTTTAGAACTTCATTCTTGATGTTCTGCAGCTTTCACATTATTATTATCTCATCATTAACAGATCTGTACCTCAGCTTTCTATCGGATCAGTTGAACCTGCAGAGCAGCAGCATCATAATAGAATAGAATTTTGTACATGGAAATTTTTTTTTATAATGTTGAGAGCACTACCAGTATATATATATTATATATATATATATATATATATATATATATATATATAAAATGTGGCTTGTGCAAAGGTTATGGCACATCTCACTTTATATACTTTTTCCAATATGTTAACCATAGCAAATAAATAAAACCTGTGCACTAACATTGTATTTTGGCATTTTCTATAAATTTCTACATTATTATATTAAGAAATATATATATATATATATATATATATATATATATATATATATATATATATATATATGTCATTTTTATTATGAGACTGTTTACATTTGAAGGATGTAAAATCATTAAAAACATCTCCAGATGCAGTAAGATCGTTAGTCACTTTATTTAGATAGAAATGTCTAAAAATAGGTAAAATCATCTGACAATATTCTTACAATTTCATTATATTGATTGTTTTAAGTGAAAATAAGTGAACACACCCTCTACAGAGAACAAATGATGTATTTTCTACAAAATTTAGCAAACAATTTTGATTTGTTTGCTGAATTTTGTATCCTAATAAAACAAGCATAAACCAGGAAAAAGTTATGTGTCATAACTTTTGCAGAAGCCATATTTTATGTTTTATTTAATTTTATTATTGAAATAATTCATTTGACATCGGATGCCCAAACTTTTGCACACAACTATGTTATTTAAGATTTATTCAATATTTTTTTTTCGAGAAAATCAAAAGGTTATTAAATTATGCATAATATACATTGTATAATTACATTATAAATTACTCATTTATATTTATAGTTCCAACTCTTGACATGCTTTCACTCACCAAAGTATCATTTGATACAACTGTGAGACTCACTACTAGCAAACTAGCTCCTCTACTTTGACTGTTTACTCTATTTTTGCATTACATCACATTGGACGGACGAGTAATGAGACGAGCTAAGACGACACACACTACAGTCATGTAATGATTTCAGTTGGTTTATGACCATTTAATGCTTTTCGGACGCAAAAACTTTTTAAATGGGGAAAACACTACTGCTTTAATGTTACAATTACAGTGTACAATGTGCAATTACTCAACTACTTGAAATCACTCCAAGTATTCATGTAAATCATATAGTAATCGTGTAGCCCATGGGGCTAAACAAGGCCCTGACATAGTTATAGCGACTGATCACTTCATTTTCATCACAGATATTTACAGTCGTATGCAAACGTTTTTTTTAATTTTCTAAGCAAAAATAAGTTCATCTTCTACAGAGAAAACACTTAAATGTAGCATTTTTTCTGCAAATGTTTGTGCAAAATTTCTATTTATTTGTTTCTGAGTTTAATTTATTGGAAAAACATAAAACACAAAATATAACGTGCTATTACTTTTGCACAGGCCACATTTTATGTTTTATTCTTCCCCCCTGATATAAGTTGTGCATTAAAATGTGCAGAAGAGTGTTCTCTCTAACTTTCACTCAGAACATATCAATCGGCCAGGGTGCACAAACATTTGCACACGACTGTATGTCTCACCGTTTGGACAAACACTAACTAAGCAAACATAAACATAATCCAGATGTGAACGTTTTGTCCAGGTAGAATCAGCTACAGTCTGAGAGGTAAATTTATGGCACGTGCGTTTGTGCTGTGGCCACCACAGAGGAAAGCACCATAGGTGGAGAGGTCCAGCTTCACAGCATGTTTTCCATGTTAGAATACTGTACTGACCTCTCCTCATGCACCAGGAGCAGGTAGAAACAATCTGTCAGTACAAAACTGTCCAGACAAACCAGCTTGTGCCAGTCAACTACTTGTGATTGAAGGTGAAATCCATGAGCATTTCTGCATAATTTAACAGTTAAGATAGAAACAAAGTCATTCAGAGTGGTTTGGTGTGAAATGCTCTGTTCTAGAGTAACTCAGTTAACCACAGTGGTGGTGATAGGAACCAGACGTCCAACTCTAAAAGCTCCCTCAAAGGTTTCAGAGAAACCATGAAATGGTTATGAATACACTGCCTGATGACTGAGACACAGTTTTATGATAGTTTGAGATAAAACTTTGGTCTAAAACAGGCATGTGAAACTGGGGACTTTCTGGGCCAAAGTGCTACAGAGATTAGCGTTTACCCTCATCTAACGCTCTGAATTTAGTCCATGAAGGCTTTGCTAATTAGCTGATAAGCTGAATCAGGGGTGTTTAATGAGGCAGCGTGCTGAAGTCTGCAGTGTTTCAGCCCACGAGGACTGGAGCCCAACATAGGTGGGCTAAAACATATTGTTAATGGAGCAGAGAGTACATAAAAGCAGGAAAACATTTTTTTCCAGATTTTTGCCATCATCAACATTACATATGAAGTGCAGATTCACTGGTCATTTTAATAGTTAATAAAATTAGTTTAAAAAATGTATTTGTTAAATAAAATTAAATTGGATTCGTTTGTGTCATCAACATTGCCCCTTGGTTCCTATCAGCACCACTGTAAAACACCAAACCACTCAGAATGACTTACATCTCTACCACTGAATTATTCCGACTTTTTGAAAAATTGGTGGAATTCCCCTTTAAATGAGTAGTTAAACAATAAACTTACACAGTTTTATCCCAGATGTAGTCAGCCAAGACATGTTTAACGTCTGAGGTTTCCTCAACTTTGGAATGAAAAATCAGGCTTGAAGATGGATGCTGCTACTGTTTTTAGCTATGCTAATGTACTTTAGTCGATAATCACAGCTATTAGTGAGTCACACAATGTCAGAAACCACAAAATCAAGTCTATTAGAGATACTGAACAACTCCACACAGTTTGAGGCAAATGAGTGTTGATCTAGCATGCAATGTGGTGCTCATGAACTTCTATTACTTGATAGCTACATTAGCCTCGTAGCTCCAGTGCTAAAAGTAAATAAGCAACCTTCAGACACCAAACTTGTCTTAGCTGACTGACTACACCTGAAAGGGAAAAAAGTGTCAATTTTATTTTTTAACCACACTATATCCTTAGTCTTCATCCAAATTAAGACTCCCAGCAGTTTAATCCAATTTCTTGACTTGTCTTGACTTAATTAGTCTCAGCTTGTTTTGTTTTGTTTTGTCTTGCCTTGCAGTGCAATCAAACTCCCGATTCCCTCTGAAGTAGGTGAATGGACATCCATGAGCGGCTCTTCACCAACCACCATAACATAGGACATTTTTTACAACACGAATCATTGCAATTAAAACTGACATTCAAACTGGGTCAAGGATGCATCAAAACGGCCAATGCACTGTGCCAGTGTAGTGATGTTGAGGAAGAAGAAGCTTTTCTTCATGGCCTTTTCAGAGCTCTAGATGTGCTCAGGAACCGTCAGGAGAGCGTCTTCAGCATCTCTGTCCACACTGACGTTCTAGAAAATCAGAGAACAAGAAAAAAAAAAAACAGAAACGTTTTTAAAGAACATGTATAGCAGCTTTTGAATTAAGATCTAGTCTGTATTTGCATTCATATGTATCAATTGTTTAAAAACATACCTGGAATACAGGATTTAAAAGATTAAAAGATTCTTAAAATTAAGTGACTGGATTATCAAAACCAAAACAAGTTACCCATTTCATGCAACAGTTTTCACAATTTTCACATGCATCAGAGCTATTTAAGTCATATTAGAGTTGATTTTAAGGACATTACATTAATAATGGCAATTATGGGGTCCAAGCACTTTCACCCCTTAAATGGCCAATTTGATCTCCCTCAGACTCACTTTGCATATATGGAAATGTGTACAACTGTATCAAAAACATACTCTACTTTTAATGTAAGTCAGCAGAACCAGACAAAGTCATTTTGGGCCATTTGGGCAAAAAGCTAAAAGGCAGATTCATTTAAGCTTTTATTTACTAAATTAGATTTTCAGTGGGACAAAAGTTTACATTTGGTGTTACTGCTTTTGTAATTGCTTAACTTGTATCAAACACTTGGAGTAGCCCAAGCTTCTCACAAGACTTGCCCATTCCTCCTGACAGAACTGCTGTAACAGACACACTGTTTCAGTTCACTCCGCAGATTTACTGTGGGATTCAGGCTAGGGCTTTGTGATGGGCACTCCAATACTTTCCCTTTGTTGTTGTCAAGCAAAATCAGTGACGTCAGGCTGCCAGTCAACATAAGTGCTAAAATAAACATTTCTTCAGCTGTAAATACCAAGACCAACACCATGTTTTACAGTCATATCTGTTCTTGAAACCCACCCGCTGACTTACATCTTTTAATATACAAATAATACATTATTTACAGGCGGCAAATCTTGAAAATTATGAAAATTTTACAGATCTATATGACTCTCTATAAACATCAGAACAGAAACCATACATTAGACAAGAGCTACATAATGTAATTTTAAGTGAGACTACAGTTGTATGCAAAAGTTTGGGCACCCCTGGCCAAATGACATGTTGATTTCATAAGTGAAAATAAGTTAACACCACCTCTACGAGACACTTCTGCATATTTTAATGCACAGTTATTGTTTATTTGCGAAATTTAACAAGTGGGGAAAACACAAAAAGCATTAAATGTCCAAAAGTTATAGCACATTTAATACTGTATGTTTTTCCAATATGTTAAACTCTGCAAGGAAATAGAAACTGTTCAATAAAATTTGCAAAAATACCAAATTCAAGTTTTTCCCCTTAGAAAAACAATAATGAGGTGTTTAAACTTTTACACTACAACTGAAACAGTACAGGTACATTTGTCTTTCCATGCAGGTCTAAATCACAGCACACACACAAACACACACGAACACATAGTACAATCAACCTACAAACACACACACCCAGAAATAAAAAGAGGCATTCTCTACTTTTGTTAAATACAGTTCTGTGCAAAAGTCCACACTTCATTTATTATTAACACCCATCAAAACAGCCATTAAGTACAAGTTATCTGTTTTTCACAAGATATTTCTGAGGAGATTAGAAGTAAGATAATCCACTCGGATAAGAAAAGAGAAAGAAAATAAGTGGGGAAAAAAGCAAATCATCACCTTTAAACAGCTGAATGTATTGTAATTGAGATATTTGAGATTAGAGACCGTTGATTAGTGTTGATTAGCCGAATGAGTCTGAACAGTCAGAACAGACTGTTTGATCATTATACCTGCAGACTAAGTTCAGTCAAGCCCAGGTCTTGTAAGCTGGGGGCTTTGGTCGGAGTGGGACTGGCCATGGGGTGGACACGACTGTGGCGGTACAGGGGTGTGGGACTGCCCTGAGGTTCATCGCTCTGATGGAGAGGCAAGTTTGAGGTTTAAATCAATGGCACTACCTCACAGAGGGCCATTAAACGGAATCATCTCAAAAAGCCCAGTTCATTGAAAAGGCGTTTCCCTGCTTTTCTGAAATAAAAGTTTGTTGAAGGACATAAAGTTTTATTTTCCAGTTAATTCAATCCATATATGGAAACTAAGCTGCATAAACAGCCTGTTTTAACATGGGCTTGCGATGTCACAACCATGAAAACATTTACATATGACCACCCATTCAGCTTAGAGCAGTTAAGCCCTGCCCATTCCTGTTGAAGTGATGCGGAGTGTTGTTCCTGCAGATAGTCTAAAGTTACTGGAATTGACGATATGGGAAACAATTAAACATTGCTGTTCCTGGCTGTCGGGAAGCAAATGTGTCATTCCAGAATTCCACAGGATCCACACATCCGAAAGGAGCGGCTCAAGTTTTTCTCCTACCTCTCTAGCTGTTTCAGCCTGAAAACAGTCTATTCCATACATTTAAGCCCAACTGCTTTTTGAATGAGGCACAATACAGGGCAGCCAATCACAACAGAGGTTATTTAGATTTACAGTAATGTGCGAAAGTCACTTTATGTATTTAATTTCCAGTCAAAGTGGCCACTGAATACAAGTTATTAATTTTTTGGTGTCTAAAAAGAAGAAAGCATTTAGCAGTAAATTACAAAGAAGCCTCAAGAACTAATTTAAATATTTTTTGTCCACTCTTTATTACAGTTTCTATTCTTTTCAGGAGACTCACTTTCAGTTTCTCAAAGAAATCTGCAGACACACCTCCAAAGTTCAGTCTTAGAAGTTGGTTTATCATTTTCTGAAGTGATCAAACACATTCAGTGATGTTGAGGTCTGGACTCTGGGGTGGTCAGTCTATTGTTCAGCTTCTTTGTTTGATGTGTTTCTCCTTTTCTCAGTGAGGCTTCTTGACAGCTACCCATCCTTTCAGACCCATAGTGCTGAGTTGTCTTCTCACAGGGGAGGATGGACAGAAACACCTGTGGATGTTTTCAGATCTGAAGCAGTTTGATTTTCTCCTCTCTCTCAAAGATGAGAGCTTTAAGTGCTGATTATCTGATGGGGACAGTTTTGGTGTCTACCAGGTCTTCCAGGTGCTTGTTAGAAGTCCCAGTTCTGGGAACATCTGTTGTTTTTCACTTGTTTTCCTTTGAACTTTCTCCTTCCTTACACAAGCGGATTATCTGATATCTAATCTTGTCAGAAATATCTCTTGAAAAATTAATAACTTGTTCTTAAAGGCCATTTTGACTGAAAATTAAATAAATGAAGATTGTTCTGACTCTTGCACAGTACCATATATCAGTCTTAAGGGCACAGTCTGTTGAATTCTAAGGGATATAGAGAGGTTGGCTAGGTCATGTAGAAATGAATTATGACTGTTTTTAATACATAAAACCACACAGACGTCATAAGTTCACCACAGAGAAATAATAAAATACAAGACAAACATACGATATGGGCCCTTTAATGTCCTGGGCGTTTATGTGGCGATGGGTCTTTTTTCACTACATGGTCATTCAGCTCAATCCATTTTGAGCCACTCACGCACGCACCCATTCATTTCAGCACATGAATGCAGCCTTTGTGCTCTGCACTTTTCCTAAAGAACGCTGCAGAACACAGTGTCTGTGTGCAGAAATCACATGAATATACAGCGTTCCAGCCAACCCTCAGATTAACATCACTTAACTATACTGCCATTAACTCATGCCCCATCTCAGAAAGGAACATTTAAATTGCTATTTGCCTCCTTTGAGCCACTTCCATGGAGCAAAATCCAAGCTTAGTAGAGTCGAATAACACTGTTCACCCTCTAGAAGTCACAGCTATCTCCATGGGTAACAAAATCATGCTATAGTTTTATTATTTCTGACTCGTAGCCTGTTGAAACAAGCGGAGAAATTATGTGGAAAGTGCAGATTCTAAACTTTCAGTCTACTCCACATTAGTGTCTAAGTAGAAGAGGAGATATTTTGTTTTGATTTGAATTTGATGGAACGTCACTATTGTATTGTTGTCTTGTATTGTAGAAAGACATTTTTTAAATCAAAATGAACAGGAAAAGTCAACAGGAAGAGCCAATTCAAACCTGTTCATACAGGCTGTAAATCGACTGTTAATGTAGTTAATTGCATTCTTAAGTTACTACACTTAATCAATGTTGTACTGTTGTAACATTATGACAATAATACTGTTGTAGCATTGGGACATTTTGCTTGGTCTAAAGGCCACATTACACACTGTGTTCAGTAATTACTTATTTTGTGTTTTGGTCGCCAAATAAAACGCGCCAGCATCATAAAAAAAAATAACAACAGTGCTCTGAAAGCTGAAAGACATTTTTTTAATAAAACTTTTATTTTATTAAGTGTTATCAGCTGTACTGAACTTACCACAGGCTTATCTCTGTGCGTATTCACCGCCTCAACATTCAGGAAAACTGATTCGACTTTACAGCCTACAGAGGAGACGGAAGAAGAAAGAAATAGCAAGAGAAAAGATAAGAGAGAAATAGAAAAAAAGGGGAGCACTACTGTTAAAAATAAGAAAAATAACAGCATCTTACAAAGACTGTATGTCAAATAGGGCTAGGCAATATGATTATATTTAATTGTTATGATGATAAATTATGTCACAATACGCTTTTCTGAACATATCATGACTATTGTCAGTACTTAAAGAACACTGACTAACTACATGTTTCATTAGTAATTGAGCATAATAAGGCCTGTTTATTTGGATTTAGTGCAGTTAAATATGATGCCTGCAATATGTTCCAAAAAAGTTGGGACAGGAGCGACTAGAAATACAAACATCTTAACCAGGTGATGCAATTATGCTGTGATATAAAAGGAACGTCCAGGAATGGCCAATTAGCGGGTTACTTGCACATCTATGTAGGCACCATTAACGCTGAACACACATTGGAGCAACATATGCTGCCTTCTAGATGCTGTCTTTTTCAGGGACGTCCATGCTTACTTCAACATGACAACATCAAGAAAGCATGGCTGCGCAATCAGAGAGTGCGGGTGCTAAACTGACCTGCCTCCCATTGAAAACGTGTCTTATTAAGCTCAGAATACAACAATATAGACCCTGTACAGCTGCACAGCCTTGTATAAGAGAAGAATGGCAAAAGTTCTGCTTTTAAAATGGGATCAGTTTGTGCATTCAGTCCCCAAATGAATATCAAATACTGTTAAAAGGAGAGGTGATGTAACTTGTGGTAAACATGCTCCTGTCCCACCTTGCTGCAGGCATCAAAATTGGAATGAGCATTTCATGGCTATCAGGACAAAACCTCTTATCTCCATTTTTCATTTTCTGACATAATTTGAAAAAGCTTTTGTGTCAAAATTTCATCATGAACAGGACCACAGAAATGGTCCAAAATAAAATATTTCTCCATAAACTTCCATTAAAAGTTAGGAACTTTTTTCTTTGTCCTGTAAAGTTATCATTTTGGAGATACAAGGTTTTGTTCGAACAGCAGAGATTTATTTAGAAACAAGTTCATAAGGTAAAACATCAAATATTGGTTTTCTGTGCCATTTTCAATGCAATGCATGTCAAACAGAATCCCTTTCACATACTGTATATCTGTATATATAATTCTACTCAGGCTTACAACTGAGCATTAAGAACTGCATATAACAATCAATAATACAACAATTGCTGATTTCAAAAGATAGAGAAAAATATATCATGATACATTTTCTGGCCATATCGCTCAGACACTGCTTTTAATTAATGAAAATGAGTCGTATTGAAGACTAGGGAAAATATGTCATGATAATCTTTAGCCATATTGTACAGCCCTGTTTCAGACACTGTTTTGAATTGATTGACTAAAGGACACTGACCGTAGGCAACAGGTGTGAGTTTAAGCACTGTGTGCAGAGGACACTTCAGATACGCCAGCTCATCTAAAGAGGAGCAGAAGAAAGAGCGTGAACTTTCAATCAAACTCTGAGAGGAAACTGAGCTTTTAGAAAATTTACATTCTTTTACCTGCACTTTTGTCCAGGAAGTAGGCCAGAAGGCAGCGCATCACAGCCTGGTGACAGATGACCAGGACGTTCTCCTGTCTCTCCAGCTCCATGATGACTGGCTCCAGCCTCTGGACCAGGTCTTCATAGGACTGAGACAGAAAGAAGAGAGGCAGTTAAGTCATAAGCATAAACAAACTTATACCAGAGCAGTTAATTTGGCTACATTTATACTGAAGGGTTGAAGGTCTGTCATGGTGTTTGGGTTCCGTACCACCATGACACACGATACCATAGATGGAAACTGGGGGTGTGGGGCTGGGGTGGTAGAGAACGTTCAACTTTAAGAGCTACACTCTTAAAAATTATGGTTGTTTGAGGGTTCTTTATTAAAGAAAATGGTTCTATGTAGAACCATGAACACTCAAATAACCCTTTCCATGATTAAAGCGTTCTTTGCATTGTTAAAAGTTTTTTTCTGATTGATGAAGAATGTGCTGTAAATGGTTCTATGTAGAATCTTTTTGAAAAGGGTTCTATATAGAACCAAAAAGAGTTCTTTTATTGTGACGATGTCAAACCTGTAACAATAGAAGAACCCTTTATGGTGCTATATAGCGCCCTTTTTCAAAAAGGTTCTACATGGAACCATATAAAACACACTCTCTGTCAATCTGAAGAACGCTTTAATGATGCCAAGAACCCTTTAATCATGCAAGGAGTTCTCTGAATGTTTATGGTTCTATATGAAACATTTTCTTTACTAAAGAACCCTTGACAAACCATAATTTTTAAGTGTGTAGGCTACTGCATTTTGTGTATAATGGAACATAAATAGCAGACATACAGACATATAAGCCACGCAGAACAACAGCAAAACAGAACGTTCCTGTGATGCTTTTGGCTTATTCATATGGTGAACACTGATCTTTCCAACTCAGATGTGAGCCACTTTCATATGTGCTCCAGTGTGAGCAGCAGGTGAGCAACTTGAAAACAATGGATTACAGCAGCAGCGAGTGTAGTCAGCAGACAGGAGTGAAACAGATGATTTTGGAAAATGAATCCAGGCAAGATTAGAATAAACAGAAATGGAGCAATGTCAAAATGATTTGTTCTTGGTTGCTGTTTATAACACCGATAATGCAAATGACAAAAAATATGCACGTGAATAGTTTCAGGGAGCAAATGTGTTCATGTTACAGATATGGGTTACTTACAACAGGAACGTAAACCATAAAGATTGAATCTGAGCCCAAAATCAGAACTCATCAATGATGTGCAACATGTTTGTTTTGAGGAACCATTTTTTTGGTAAATAAGATGAGTGAAGAACCTTTTTGAGAGTTTAAAGAAATTCCACATAATCTAAAAGTTCTAGGAAGAACCCTTAAATTGATCCAGACACTTTACATTAGGCAAGGCAAGGCAAGTTTATTTATATAGCACCCTTCATACACTGCTGTCTTTTGTAAAGCAAAGTGCCTTACAAAAGTCATTTAAAAGAAAAGAGTCTTTTAAAAAGTAAAGGAGAATAAAAATGAAAAACATGATTAAAACGATTTAAAAGAGAAAATCATTAAATTTCAAATCAAATTAGAAATTAAATTAGGATAATTTAAAATCAAATTAAAATTTTAAAATAAAACTTGGAGTTGGAAATTAGGAACCTTTAAAAGGTTCTTTACACTCACACACCTTTTTTTTTCAAACATGATTCTTTATGAGCCTTTTTTTGAGAGTTAAGGTGGTTCTTTATATTCTCATTTATAATAATGGGGGTGTCCAGTGTTAAGTCCTTGTCATCTCCTAACTCACTGCTTCCTTAAGGATGTATAGTAGACAGACCGCTGGTATCGCCATTGTTCTTCGTCCTAAAACTTCCAGCAATTATTTGACCCTTACCTCACCCTTTGGATAGCGATAGCGGTATTTATCTTGGTCTCTGAGTGCAAACTCCTCCGGGTGGTGTTCCTGAATCTCCTCATACGTCATCTCCTCACACACACCCTGCCAAGAGACAGAAACACTTCCGTTAGCTGAGGAATAGTCTTCAGAGAGAGAAGCAGTCAGTTAGCGGAGATAAAAATACATAAGACATGAGACGCATACTTTCTAATTTCAGTAATTTTCCTCTATGAGAGGACACAACATGCAGTCATGATCCAAAAACAGCAGAAGAGGAGTACTGGATTGCTGTCCAAGCAGCAAAGCTGCATGCTGAGACAACAGGTGTTCATTTAGAGCAGTGAGTGTAATCAGCGTCGTATATTTAGAGGCTCAGAAATGCCTGGAAATGAACTCAACCCTGCTATCTCCTGCCGCCATCAAATTAAGTCAAAATGTCACTCCTCTACATTTCCAAGGCTCTCTTCTTTGAAGACTAAACCTAAAACACATCTTCACTCAGCATTGCCATGCTGACATTAATTACTGTCACGATTGCGCGATTGAAAACATTATCGATTGCAATTTATATTCTCCATTAATCAACTTTGTGATTAGTTTGTAATTTAACTGATAAACAGAGTATATGCTGTTCATAATAAAGATGTAGTTTGATAGCTGAAACTGTGCATGGGTTTCCATGGCTGAGCAGCTGCTTGCAAGCCTTACATCATCAAGCACAATGCGAAGCGTTGGGTAGAGTGGTGTACTGGACTCTGGAGCAGTGGAAACATATTCTGTGGAGTGACAAATCACAGACGAGTCTGGGTTTGGTGAATGCCAGGAGAATGTTACCTGCCTGACTGCATTGTGCCAGCTGTAAAGTTAGGTGGAGCAGGGGTTATGCTATGGGGTTGTTTATCAGGGGTTTGGTCTAGACCCCTTCGTTCCAGTAAAGGGAAATCTTAATGCTTCACCAGACCAAGACACTTTGGACAATGTATGCTTCCAACTTTCTGGGAACAGTTTGGGAAAGAACCTTGTCTGTTCCAGCATGACTGAGCCCCAGTGCACAATGCAAGGTCCATAAAGGCATGGCTGGGTGAGTTTGGTGTAGAAGAACTTGACTGACCCTCACAGAGCCCTGACCTCAACCCCACTGAGCACCTTTGGGATGAACTAGAACGGAGATCACAAGCCAGGCCCTCTCGTTCTTTAATACAAATGTTTCAAATGTCCGTGTTTGAGCAGAGCTGGCCTATGTACTATTAAACCCCGTGTAGAAAGTAAACAACACTGCCAACTGTTTTTCAGTTAAGTCCAGATTTAGTCAACTATAATAACCCTGGTACAGAGCAATTCAGATATTGGTCAGTACTCACAGCATCAATCTCATTGAGGGCTTTCCACTGCTCGTAGGGAACGCCCACTGCCTCTGCAGTCTGGATGGTTCTCTTCATGTGACTGGTCCAGATCTTTAGGTCAGGGATGCACTGGCCCCTGATGTATTTCCCAAGTGCAGCAGCAAACTGAGGGGGGCATGACACACAATTTCATATGCATGAAACATCTGGTTTTTGAGAAGGATGCTACAAATATTGAGTGAGATGCTCAGAGCTCTCACAGTCACTACTCAGCTTTTCTCTATCTAAAAGCCTTTGGCACATGTAAACTTGTGTGTTGGGAGCTGAGTGAAAAATATGGACTGCCCAGTGGTGCTTGAGGATGAGATTGTGAACCACTGCCATAATGGTCAAGGATGTGTTTACTTTGACAGAAGACGTGTGCTGTCTAATCTTAAAGAGCACCAAGAGGTAGAGAGTTAACCTGGACAAAACAATACATTTCATTAGCCTTATGACTAAATGATTTTACAATATTTTATGTTCCTTTTTCTAGGGAGTAAAGCTATAAGAATGATGATCCCTTAACCTCTTAAACTTTTCATCTTGCTAATACTCCTGACTCTGTAAACTACAGAATGCATACATTAGTTTTGTAGTAGATACTGAATAATTTATAGTAGATACTGAATAATTCATATTGGACACTGAATAATTCATAGCATATATTGAATAATTCGAAACAGACACTGAATAATCCATGGTAGATACGGAATAAATAAGAGTAGATAATCAATAATAGTCAATAATTCATAGTAGATAATGAATAATTCCAAGTAGATACTTAATAAATCAGAGTAGATAATGAATAAATCAGAGTAGACACTGAATAATTCATAGTGGATACTGAATAATTCATAGTAGATACTGAATAAATAAGAGTAGATAGTCAATAATTCATAGTAGATAATGAATAATTCCAAGTAGATACTGAATTAATTTAGAGTAGATAACGAATAATTCATAGTAGACACTGAATAATTCATAGTAAATACTGAATAATTAATAGTAGACTCTGAATAATTCATAGTAGACACTGCTATACTCCTACATCATGCCCACCTTGTTTCCCCGAGGGGACAGGCCAGAATCCCCCCCGATGCGGCCCAGCAGGTTCAGCTCGCTCTCTCCATGGCGACACAGGTAGATCGTGCGTGGTGTAACATGAATATTCATCAGATAATAGACAATCCTACTCTGGATATGATCCTGCACACGATTCACCAAATACCTGATCCCTGCATTAAAGATCTTTATATAGGACAGATTTCTGTGTGAGTGAAAGAGAGAAGAGAGAGAGAGAGAGAGAGAGAGAGAGAGAGAGAGAGAGAGAGAGAAAGAGAGGACAAGACATTGAGTCCCAGAGTGCTTTCACAGCTACATAAAGCTCATTGGTCATAGTTTTTGATATTTTATATGCAACAACAAACTATGTATATTTAAATTCATGAACAGAAATACTTACCAGACACCAATGAATCGTTTAAAAAAAAAGTAATTAAATTATAAATAATATACAAATAATTACACATTAATTTTGCATTGAAGAAAAACTGTACAATAGAGTGCCCAGGGTAGGTGTCTGTGGTGAATGACCTCAATGTAAAAAATAAATAAACAAATAAAAAGCATGACCTACAAAAAATGATTTTTCTTTCATTTATTATTTTAATAATTGTATACTGTCATTCACTGTAAGCACTTCCTGAATTTATGGAAAAATCCAACTTTCCTTTTGATATCTTTCAAATCGTTTTGTTGTGAGGCAACTCACCTCTGGGACTCATGTATACGCAAATGTGTTAACATGAACAAACAATTCACAGACTTGAAATGTATAGTTTATGTCACTGTTTGAGCTTGGTTTAAGTGAATACACCCCAAATCCCAGTGTTTACAACACCTGGAAAGGAATATTATTAAAAAGACAAGGCGCTTTATTTATAATTGCAGTGTCGATTGCCAGGTCTGACCTGTCTCTGTCGTCATCCAGAGAAATATAGGTGACCTTGTAGCACTCGATCCTCTTCAGAAAGTCCTTCACTGCCTCCTCTTTGTCACAGTTAATATAATCAGGGCTGCTGAGCTTCACTTGCTGCAGAGACAATGTAGCAGAAACCAAAGTGTTAACAACCCTGGAGCATTCAGAGATTTTATATCACTCATTCTATCACACCATTTGTGTCTGAAAGGGCAGCTGTCGTTTACATGATCCAACATGTCGTAAGGATCCAAAATGACCTGCAATAAGATGTTGTTACATCATAAAACATCTACAGTGGGGTCCAAAAGTCTGAGACCACTAGTGAAAATTTTGCACTTCTTTCTAAATTAATAGAAAAATTTTCATTACAAATTCTATGAGCAGCTTAAGGATTGAGTGAAAAGTAGAATCTTTGAAAATTTTACTTGAGTTTCAGAATTTCTTTCTATTTGATATGTCCTTCTTTTCCTTTAATGACAGTGTGCAGTCAAGCTGGAACAGCATGATGTCACAAATTTGTTTAGTTTGAGTAGTGAGCTAGAAATAGTGCAGAATCTTGAATATTTCTTCTGCATTTTACTTGTCATAACATTTATTTGTTTTTTAAATTTTTCAATATTGTAAATATTGTTGTTTATTTCCAAGTTTAAAAGGGAAAAAAACACAGATTTTCAATGTGGTCTCAAAAAAAGGACTTAATTGGAACTGATACGTTCTCTGCCCACAAGCACATTCTTTAGCACTTATTATATAACTGTCTGTTTTGATGCCCCTGGTCAAATGACATGTTTTTGTTAATTTGTGAAAATAAGTAAACTCGTCCTCTACAGAGACACACTTCTGCACGTTTTAATACATAGTTACTGTTTATTTGCTGAATTTAACATTGGGTAAAAAAAAACATAAAACGTGTCCTGTGCAAAATGATGACACATTTTATATTTTCTATTTCATGTTTTTTTCCAATATGTTAAACCAAGCAAATGAATATAAACTGTGCACTAACATTTGCAGAAAAAACACATATTTATGTGTGTCCTCTGTGGAGGACATGAACTTATTTTCACTTAGAAAATCAATGTCATTTGACCAGGGGTGTTCAAAATTTTGCATACAACTGTACATCTTTGCAGAACATTGTTTATGTAATGTTAGCTATTCATAAAAAGTTCATTCTGAAACGGAATCACAGCTGTTTTTACCTTGATATTTTCAGCAATGATTTCAGGGTCCTCACAAATGGACTCCACGAAAAACACCTAGAAAATAGAAACAGCTTAACTGTAAACTACACTGATATGTTTTAAAGGTCTCAATTGGCTTACAAGCTTCAAAGAAAAAAAGAATAAAATAAGTTAAGATGTAAGGTTTTTATGTGAAATGCTTTGTTCTAGAGAATTTTTCTTTATAGAAGTGGTGATAGGAAACAGGGGTCGCCATGACTAAAACAAATATAGACATTTTATTTACTATCCAGAACCACCAGTGAACCTACACATGTCTTTTGAGTGTTTATTTGAAATGTAGAAGATGGTAAAATAGTGGTAATTATGTAACAGGAAGTTTTCTTTGGGAACTATTTTGCTTACCTCTCCATTATGAATGGATTTAAAATATATATCTCTGCTGTCGAAACAAAACCTTGCATCTTCAAAAAGGTAACTTTACAGGACAAGGAGAGAAAAGTTTTTAACTTTTAACAGAAGTTAAAGGAGAAATATGTAATAGTAATTTAATTAGTAATTTGTAATTAGTCAGTAGTAATTTTGGACCTCTTTTGTTGGTCCATTCTTGAAATTTTGACCCAACATAAACGGCAACTGTCTTTTTTAAATTATATATATATACAATTTAAAAAAGGCAGTTGCCGTTTATGTTGGGTCAAAATTTCAAGAATGGACCAACAAAAGAGGTATATATATATATATTTATAAATATATATATATATATATATATGTGTGTGTGTGTGTGTGTGTGTGTGTGTCTCAGTCATCAGACAGTGTATTCATAACCATCTCATGTAATAACTTTCTTTGAGGGAGCTTTTAGAGGTGGACGTCTGGTTCCTATCACCACCACTGTGAACAATTCTGACTGTAAATTTCTCTACAACAGAGCATTTCACACCAAACCATTCTGAGTGACTCCCTTTACATTTTAACCATTTAACTATGCAGGAATATTGAAAAAGAAGAAATGGCAGAACTCCCTTTTAAGAATATCATTTTATGTTGTGAAGATTTATATGTAAGACAAACTATCACAGCTAATGAACTAAGACTGGTGTAACTGTAGAACAGATTCCGTCTCCACTTTCACTGACCTTGTAGCCGTTCTCTTTGGCGAAGGAGAGGATGATCTCTCTCCGTTCACGTGTTGTGTTGGTGGCATCAAATACCTGGAGAGATAAAGACTGTGTTAATGCCCCATTTCTCCAAACAACATAAAGCAATATAGGGCAGTCTCTTGCTACATACACACACAGCTTAAACACGCTTTCATTCTATTTGCAATTGTTTCATTTTATTGACTATTTACTCTGTTCTCCCAAATGTTACTGTTTTCATCTCATAATTTCCTACACAATTAATCAACTATTATTTCTCTTTCATTCTTGCGTGCAAAAGAACATGACTGGGGGGTGTCGGGGGGACCCGGATAGGATCTCTTAGGGCCAAATGTTCTGAAATGGCCTTGATGTAAAGTGTTTTCGAACACCTTGATCAAGAAGCTGGAGAGCGAAATACTGACTGGTCTGTTCAACACTATAAACACATCTGTGCAATGTTTATGTGAAATGTAAAGATTTGCAAGAGTCTGATGAAGTTTCAAAACGTACTGTTCCCTCCTCAGCACATACAGTCCAAATACCAAAGCCTGTTTTGAATTTACTGGTTTGGTGATGTCACACTTCTACATTTCGTCCCCTTGGAGTTACAAGATTCTATCTCACATTTTAGTCAAAATTGAGTTGTTCACATATTCTTATTCTGTGACAACTTCTTAACATTATGTGAGGTGTTTTTTTTTGAGTTGTGTGCATTTTTGGACTCTTTATTTAGAAAACAAAAAGGTTCTATCTCCAGAGTCAAACTCTAACTTTCTATAAGCTTCTATCTGACTGACCTGCTACACTGGACAGTTTATTACAGTAGCTGGTTGCTGTCTAAGCTAAAGGACACTTAAACTAATGTTTCCTACCTAAAACTGACCTTAACTTATACATATTCTATCAATCAATGCTTTTTGAATAAGAAAAGGATGATTTATCCTAAAACAAGAAATAAAAGTCCTAAAAAATAAATAAATAATAAAAATAAATGTTTATTTTTTAATTTTTGATTATTTTAATTGTCATTGTCATATATGAGAGAGATGTGTTCCACATACCAGTTTTGCTATTTGGAATACAAAATCTTTGAAACTCAGTATCTCAAAACTGCTAAGAACGCAGATAGAACCTTATAATGCTAAGGGGACGATTCACCCCCCTATTCAGTCTACAGCAGTTTATTATTATTATTTTAAGAGCCGTCAAGTCATTTCTGACTCCTCCATATGAACAGTGTTTCTCCAGAATGTCCTGTCTTCAGGCTTCTGAATGGCTGGTTCATGATTGTCTCCATCTATCTTGTATCTGGACATTCTCTTCTTCTTTTACCCTCAACTCTTCCAAGTATAATTGTCTTTTCCAATGAACAGGTTCTTCTCAGAATATGTCCAAAATTATAGCAGTGTAGCCCCACCCATTCACACTGAAGTTATTAGAAGTGTTTCAGCCCAGACCGCTTTTTAAATGATGCATAATACAATCGCTCTCACCACAGTAGGCCTGAAACTGTAAGTTTTGCTAGTTCAGCTCAAGCATTCCAGCTGCTGTGGGAACACAACAAGGAAAACAAATGTCTATTCAAGAGTGAGGCCAAAACTGATAAAAGTGCTTGCTATTTATATATGAGTATGTATTCTGGGCTTGAAGGATTGATGGATTGTACTCATGCCAGATGCTGGATTCCTGCCGCAGTTTTGTGTTTGTTGTTTGCTGGAGTAACTGGGATCACTTAGCCTAGTCCATCTCTCAGTTTGGTCATCATTACACTTACTATACTTGAATACAACTGCATGTGAGCTACAGGGACTGGACAGACTCTCCTGAGTCTCTGAGTACTTCTTATATAACTGCTTTACTTGCTTTCAGAATCAATAATTTAGGTTCATAAACAGCCCTACAATTTCCTCCCCCTTCCTTTTTTCTCCCACACAGTTATCATTCATCGTGACACTGCTATTGTGAAATTTAATGGGCACAATCAGAAAATTGAGAATTAATAGACTGATTATAACAAACCTCTGCTCCTTACTTAACAGCAATTCTACATTTATAAACTTTGAATTCAAAGTGTGATGTCACAACCATGAACACAATGATAAGCGTTTGCCCACTCAGCCTACAGCAGTTTAATCACACCTATTCATTTTGAAGTGGGAGCTATTAGAGTAAAAAATGCAGAAATGGCATGGGTGGGGCTAAACTGCTGTATGCTGAGTGAGCAGACATTAATAAATGTGTTCATGGTTGTGATACCACAGTAATTATGAATTAAAACTGGCTCAGCTTCCATAGATGGGCTGTTTTGAGTGTTACTAAATGGTATTTCTTTTTTTTTTTTACATCAACAATGTTTCTGTATCAAACTCTATTAAAAAAAAAGGGGACATGTTGTTTTCACATGATATGGGTGCTTTAAAATGGTATAACTCAAAGCAAATGACACTGCACACAGACCGTAAACTGCTTAACAGACTGTCACTGTTGACTGTCCACTCACCGCCACCTGGCCGTGATCCTGAGTGAAGTAGGTAGACACGTCCTTCAGTGCAGCGAGGGCGCACGCTCTGAACACAAGAACACACAGCTACAACAAAACACTGGACACACGGTTGGGCAGAATACTTTAAAGCAAGGGTTCTCAACCTTGTCCACCTCAAGGCCCACTTGTTTGTCACTAGTAAGCATGAAGGCCCACAAGAAAACAAAACGCAACTTTTTACTTAATTTTTTGGGAAATTTGTAGCACAATGTATCCACTTCTGCAATATGTAACGTGCATCAGTGAATATTAAAATATTAATTTGAATGTTCCTACAACAGTTTCTTTTTGTAGTGTGGGGGGGGTGAGTATTTGTTTTTTAGAGTCAAGAGGCAAAAATCTTTTGTGCTGTTTTCGCAGGCCTCGTATTAATGTTACTTTCCATTTCGAAACATTTTATACTTTTTTATTGTTAAGCCAATTCTTATTTTATGGCAAACTGCGATCACAGACCCAGTACGAACCCCTGGCACCCCCTCAGTATTGGCCTGAGGTCCACCAGAGGGTGTTTCAAAGCCCAGTGGTTGAGAAACCCTGCTTTAAAGAAGTAGTATTGGCCAAATACTGAATACGGTGTCCTTAATGTATTCACGAACATATTCCATTACAGTACATAAAAAGTAACATTCAGAACACATTTGGAATTCATATTGATAAGGCACACTGGGAGAACTCTGCCCATAAAGGAGTTTAGTAACACTGAGATTAATAACTGATCATACTGATTTATCAGTCTACTCAGGCTTTAGCAGAGCTCAGTAACTCTGAGATTAAGCTGGTCCGTAGGAAAAGGACTGATATTAGAACACATATGAAAAACATAAATACCATCAGTAGTGATTTAACATATGTATTCATTTGAAGCCCAGTATTAACTGTAGTTAGGATTCCATATCTTGTTTGGTTAATCAATACTTCATAGTATTAAATCAAATGTGTTGATAGTGAAATTTAACTAATCTATGTAATGGCTGTTGGCATCCAGGAAAAAAGAAATGCTTGTTTCTTTTTACTAACGCCTGTCTGCATTCAGTCTAATGATGTATAGTGTTTTATCTTATTGCCAAGATTTTAAACAATGTGCTCTGACAAATGAGTTTTGCCTGTAAGCAATAAACATATTACTTTTTTTAAAATGTGAACAACTGTTTGCAAAAGTTAACATGGGCTTGGACTGTTTTGTACATTTAGGCAACCAAGCACATGAAATAAAATTAATCATGTACGTCCTTACTTGCGAATCTTCATCGCTTCTTCATTGTCTGGCCGGAAGAACTCGAAATTCTTGTAGGTTTGGACAGCCTCTCTGCGGTACTGCCCAACATTGAACACTATTAATGTGAACGAGACAAAAAGAGTGATGATTTAATAAACAAACCATGAAAAGTGCTCTGTAAATAAATTTGCACTGCCTTATCTATTTTACTGAAGTGTAAATAATGTGCACATGTGAAGCAAATTCAGTGTGGCACTTTTTTCAGTCTATCCTGTTTTAATCTTGTTTTAAAAACACCTAACCTCCTTTGGCTTTTCAGTTTAAGTCTGGTCCTTTTCCCTGAGTGCATTTCCAGGCACTTAATAATCTGATGAATGCAGAAAAACAGATTTTGTCAGTAATTGGTTCAGTGCATTTACATGCACATGGGTAATTAGATAATGGGAAACTCTGGGTCGACATGAGTCGGGCAGCCAATAAACTCACAGAAGAAGACGTGACATAAATGTAACATAAAACTCAGCGCCATGCTGCAGCTTCGAATCACATTAGCAGAAAATATGAATATATATCATCCAGAAGATTAAAAATATTTTAATTCTTCATTTTGTTAAGCATGTAGTCTTGTGTTGTGTTTCGTGGGTGCTGTGTTAAACACTGCTTGCTGTTTCCGGGACAGCGCTCTGTCTTCACAGGTGCAGATGGAGAGAAACGAAAGAAATCAGAGTACACATGCACTGAAAAACCCCATTACTGAGCTCAAATCCAGCCTCTTTATCAGAGTCCTTAATCAGATTTTAAGACCTTTATCGGATCTATCTCTCAGAGTGTGCTGTTTACATGACCACCATAATCAGATAACCTCCGAAATCTGATAACGATCAGATTATTGGTGTGCATGTAAAGTGTTCACTGCTGTACCCAAAGAATCTCAGTGGAAAATAAACTGACCTTTAGTTGGAACTCCGATCCAGTTGAGGTAGCGTGTGAGTTTTTTGGAGATGTAGGTTTTTCCTCTGGCCGGCAGCCCCACCATCACTATCATAGTGGGCGAGTTAGTGAACTGAGGCACAGACGCTGGAACACAGCAAAAAAAAAAAACGAAAAAAAAAATCTCATTACACATGAAACTACAACTTGACGAGTCTGTGAATCTGGAAGCCAAATTGATTATGGACCTTCAGAAGTCTAAAAGGTTATTCAGTTCAGTCGTATTCAATTTACCTCAATAATTTAAATATGTGACACAATTAATGACACAGTTTGTCACATAATAATTTGCACTTATATTCAGATTTCAGCTAATTTCTGCTTTAATGTCAAAAAATGACAAAAACATAAAATAGAAAAGGATACTTTTACTGTCTGCAAACACACAACAATAACCTTTCAGAAAATTTAAACCCTAATAAAACACCTCCTCTTCCACTTCAGATAAAAATGTGGTGAGGATTGAAAGATTCTCTGTTTGTGTTAAAGATAAATGATTAATATAAAACTACATTATTACAAGCTTAATAAATTAATTTGATCACTTCACTGTTTAGTGAAGAGTGGTGAATATTATGGATTTAAGTACAAAATCTCAAAATAATTGTAAAAAATTAACAGATCAAATGTTACAATTATCAGGTTAGTTCCTGTCCATCTCTAAATAAACTCATAAAATTAATCAGGGATGTAACAATACAACATATTGCACTGTATTAAATTGTATCGCATTGTGTTACTGTATTGTTTCTAGCAATTCTAGCAGGTTTTGTTTCAAACAGTGCTGTCAAAGTTAACACTATACATTATTGATAAACTATTATTAATGGCACTATTTATCATATAATATCAAACAGAATTCTGAATTTCCTGAAGCATGAGTTCCCTATAATACAGAACAGCTGAAAAGCAAGAAAAAATTTTTTTCGTACTTTCATGAGAATTTCTGAAAGTATTCCATCTGGATGACAGAACAGTGAAGAACGAGGGTAAAAACACTCACTACATCTGCATCAGATGTTCTGCAGAGTGCCAGATGCTTAATATGAACGGGAGCAAATTAACACCCCACGCTTAATGAGAAACACTCAGGATTTTAGATGAATCACTCCAGCTGATGAAAATCTCCATGGAGACGTGACATGAGCCTTTATCAGACACCCACTCGTTTAATTACAGCGTGTTAATTCAGCCTTGTGTACCAAGTGCTCTTTTTGCACATGTGAGTCAGAAAATGGACTGAACTTGTCCTCTTTGATTGCGTCCCACGAGGTTAACGGCCCTGTGGTCAGTGTCTGAAGCATGCTGTGGAACACTGATAACAGTTTCCAAGATAATTAATACAAACTCTACACAGTTTTCCCCCTTTCACTAGACTTAATCAGCAAAGACATGTTTGGTATCTTAAGTTTGCTTAGTTTTGCACTGGAGCTGTGAGGCTAATGTACCTAACAGGTGATGGAAGCTTAAAGTCCACCACATACCTCAAACAGATCATCACATGCTTGCTTCAAACTGTGTGGAGCTGTTAAACTTGCTCTGACACTTTATGACACACAAGGACAAAAGTATAGTAGCATAGTTTGAGAAGCAGAGTTAGGAGCAGTTTGACGTCTACATTTTGTTCACTTTTGTATTTATTTTTTATTGACAATATATTTTTACAGACTTCAGACACCAAACATCTTGGAGGAAATGTTCCGTCAAACTACCGCTGTAAGAAAAAGCAACATCAACATTGCTCAGAAGGTCACTTACAGCCTCTTCTTCGGCTCAGTTTGCTGCTCATCCATGGAACCCAGATCTTTTCCAGGGGGTTCTGGGTAAGTTCACTTTGCAGGTGAGCCATTTCCACTAAGCTTGTGTATCAGTGAAAGAGAATCTATCCAGCCGGACCGCAGGATGTGTCTGTCTGTGATGGTGGGCCTATCTTTGAAAAGCAAACTCAGCAGTGGACTAAGCCCTGTGGGTGGACCTGTGTCAGCTGATCCACCTGAGCTACCATACAGGCCATTAGGATGGCCTTTAAAACTACGCCTGGGCGATAGCGTGATGTAGGAAGACTTTAGCGACGATTACCAAGCACACTGATGCAATGCTTCAAAATTCATTAGGACGGCAAAAAACAAATGTTTTGATAGTCTATTATTCATGGGAATTAATCGTCTAATCAGTTACTGTCTAATTAATTACTGTCTGCTAACACACAACAATAACCTTTCATAAAATTAAAATTCTAATAAAATATCACCACAAATGTGGTGTGGATTGAAAGTTTTTCTGCATGTGTTAAAGATAAATTAGCAAAATAATATTACAATATTACAAATTATTTAACAATTTATTTTATCACTTCTAGTAGTCAATTTTAAAGGTTTAAGTACAATATTTCAAAATAATGATCATGATTTTATAGATAATTATCAGTTTAGTTCCGGTTCATCTCTAAATAAACTTATATAATTCATAAGGGATGTAACAATAAAACATATTGCACTGTATTACGTCGTATTGTATTGTGTCACTGATTTATGCCCAGCAATTTAGCATGTGGCTAGTGTGATAGCTTAGGGCTAACATAATATAAACGCTATTATAAACACTTGAATTTGGGTTTCAAGTGAGTTGCTGGAAGCTTTACATTGTGCAACTTAGGTGCAATTTAGTTTCATGTAGGTTTCAAGCAACTAAAGTTGCACACAAGGTTCACTGTGTAAAGCAAAGCTTGTACAGAAAAGTTTTTTGAAACAAAACTTTTCAACATTATTTAGTGAATTTATCATGTTTTGTATCAGCCAACTAACTCTTCACAAACTCAGTGTTTTGAGCTAAAAGGTCAGAGGTGAAATACAATGTGACCAGGCTAGCTGAGGTGAACGATTAAAAACTTTAGATTGACGTAAAATTCAAACAAAACGTCACCTACTATGGATCTATGGTCTGCGTCTGGTTTTAATGTAGTACAGTAATAATAAGACACTGAGTGGTGTCTCAGGTGATGTCCAGTGTGTGGTAGCCTGTATTCTTAATAGAGTATTTTTCCTTACAAATTTGAATATCAATCAATGTAATCAATGATCTCGATGGTTTAACAAGAAAATATAATGCTATCCCTCAGGCCTATCATAAATTCCACAATTTCCAAGTTTACCACTAAAAAAGATATCAATGTTAAAGTTAAAGCCTAAAAAATAGTTTAAAAGTAAAAGAAGGGACAAAAAAAAGTTTTTAACTGCGATTATTTACTTGTAAATTAACCGTCAGCTAAAGTTCCATGACTGTGACAAGCCTAATGTGAATCTTGACCTCTGAATCAAAAACCATATTGATCCTGAACATATGTGTATCGTGACACCCACAATTAAAGATTAGAATAACCTCAGCAGAGGAGTGTGGGGCCAGAGGACCTATGCCAAGCTTCTGACTCAACAGTTTTCCTGACCTTCTTGACTGCTTATAAACCCCCAAACAGACAGAGTGAACGACCCTGTAAACTGACACTTGAGTCTCAGTAAATTGGCAAAGAGCGCCGGTGGCCTTGGCACCTCTGTGGACGGGTATTTCAGGCAGTGAAAGACTTGTTCACTTCCAAATGATACGAATGAAGTTAATCTAATCAAATACTAATCCTGGTGCTTCTTTATGCAAAAAACATTTCACCTCAGTTTTCAGAAGTGTTCAGCCATTGCTGTTGTTATACGATACTATTTCAATGTAACTACACTTTTTTATAATTCAAGTTTAGACGTTTAGCACTTTCTCTGCTTGTTTTAGTGAACTATGGGTCAGAAATAGTTATATAAAACTACAGCATGGTTATCACTGGCAAAAACTGTGGCATCTAAGGATAAATACGAGCTTAATCTCTACCAGAGAAAGTGGTCCTACAACTTATTTAAATGCAATATCCTGCTAGGTCAGTTTTCAACAGTCAGTCCTGGTAATTTATCCAGTTCAGCAGGTTATTCAACAAACCAGGATCAGTAGTTATAGCAAAACTAGACTCCCACTCATTCAAGCTTGGACATGATGCTACAGTGAATACATGAACCCATCAAAAGCAGAGCAAAAAACATGAATGTCATTATTCCTCAGTTCCTCCTTAGGAGCAATTTCTGAACAATGCAAGGTACCACAGACATTTGTACAAACAGCTGTATGCAAACATAAACATCTTGGGACCACAGAGATACTGCATAGCTCAGGAGGCACAAATGAACTCCCAGAGCAAAACAAACTGCCAAGACAACAACAGAAAAACTGATGACAAAGTTGGAGGCATCAGGTTTGGACATCTGGATCTGCACTATGTACGTAAGAAAAAGGGTGAGGCTTCTAATCCAAACAACACAATGCCAACTGTGAAGCATGGTGGTGGCAGCATCATGATTTGGGGCTTTTGCTGGGAAAGTGATGAAAAGAGATGAAATCATGAGGAAGGAGGATCATCTAGAAATACTGAAGCAACACCTCAAGGCATCAACCAGAAAGTTAAAAGTTGTCACAGTTGGGTCTCCCAAGGATGATGATTCTAAGCATTCTTCCAAAGTTGTTTAACCTCTTAAAATCCCAGGCGTATTGCATACTAAAGCCTATTATTCAGTAACTACGGGGACCTCAATGCAAACTGGCTGACCTATTCTTAGGTTTTAGGAGTGTGTAATAAAACATTGGGCCTGTTGGTGGCCCTGGCCATTTAAGGGGATAACAACAACAAAGGGAAAGCAATGGAGTGTGCATCACAAAGCTCTGACCTGAATCCCACAGTAAATCTGTGGAGTGAACTGTGTCCATTACAGCAGTTCCATCAGGAGGAATGGGAAAGTCTTGTGAGAAGCTTGGGCTACCAAGTGTTTGATACAAGTTAAGCAATTTAAGGGCCATAACACCAAACACTAAGGATGCGTATGTTTTGACCTGCTGAAAATCTGATCTAGTAAAAGCTGAAATAAATCTGTTTGCCATTTTGAAAAAACCTCTCAAAAGAAACAAAGTCTGTGCACTAACATACAGAAAATGCAGGGTAACATGGAATGTGTAGAGCTGTGAAAAGTTGAGTTTGAATGTCTTTAGCCTTGGGCTATGTT